TCTCCATGCGCCAAGGCGAGGCCGCACCGACGTCATGAGCGAGGTCGTTCATTGTCCGCGCGTGCATTCTCTTTACGGAACCGACGATCGTTGTTGCGTGGACGGCGTCACGTAGACGACGTTGGGTGTCAGCACGGCCATGCGCTGCTACTGGCTGCGCTGCAGTCAGCGCAAGGCACACCTCTGCGTTTACGACAGTGTGGTTCTCATGGACCTTATCGATGGGACGGAGGACTCGGTACCCGAAGGCTGCGTGTCAGCACGTGGCATCCCATCGCATCGCGGACTGTAGTGATGGGTGTCCTTTTTTTGGTCGCTTCGTGCAAGAAGCGCTGCGCCGCTGTCTTCATAGCATGTACTATTTGAGCAAGGACTTCCTCGGACGTGTATAGGGTCTTGGGCATGAATGAAAGTACCTATCGCGTGCTGGATTAAGTATGTATGTGCACTTGTTTGGATGGACACGAGGAGCAACGATGACCTCGTCGCTCGCAAGCCGGTCCGTCGGACCCGGAAGCCAACCAAACGTCTCAAACAGAGCTCGCTCTGAGGCGTGTGACTGGTTTTTGCAGGCCACGGTCGCATCCACTCGCCTCGTGTGACGCCGCAAGGGGTTGACGCTACATGTACGGTATAGTGTGTGATCGGCAGCGCCTGCCCATGCACGGGGGAGCCACTACAGTACCGTGCACAGTACTTTCTGTCCATTGCCGCGTACGGTTCTACAGTGGGCGCTAGCAATATCTTTCGTGCTGTCCAAAACAAACCAGAGGTCGTTGTCGCACAACCAACTCGTGCTCAGCAACGACTCGTTGTTGATGGATCGACGACCCTGCCCCAGGAAGGGCGCTCGACTGTACTAGTATGGTAGTACGGTGCATTGGAAACGACGTACACGTCGTTTAGCATCGACGTGATGTCGATGCTAGTCCTGCGTCTCGTCATGGCTCTTGCCACCGCAGCGCGGATGCGTTTGGCTGCAGCCACCCAGGTGCGTCCAGCGGACCGACAGAGCATCGTTGCGTCTTGATAGCTGTCTATGTCATCCACGCCATCGATTCGACCATTGTACCACTGCGCAGTCCATTCAGCGCCAGAGACCCCTACAGAGCCTAGGTGTACTATAGATGTTCCGACATCCTACATATCTCGCCGCGCGTGGATGGCCATCCGTTTTGTGGTCGTGCTGGATCACATGGAGGCGTTACGCCCAACTCAGAAAACCGTCGCCGCGAGAAAGCCAGTAGAACATATGACAATCATCTACGTCCAAGGACCACTCTGACCGACTGGCGCTCTCGCATGCATATGCGGCGGGTCGTCACTTTTCCATTTCACAGCTCTTGTGAACTATTAATATCGCCATGCGCCTTTTTGGCTTGCCGCGCTCGTTGTCGCGTCCGTGGCGGCCACCAACACGACGTTGCCGACGGCGCTCCCGACGATCGAGGTGGCGTCGCCTGCCAACAGTGCCGAGCTCCTCAACCTCGTCGACTACAACATTGCCCAGCTCATTGCCGACATGCAAGCGGTCGCAAAAGACGGCATGAACGAGACGCTGCGCGCGAGCATCCAGCGCAACATGGAGCAGGCCAACGCGCTCGCGCTCAACAAGCTCCAAGGCAGCGACGAAATGCTGCACGAGATTGGCACGGTCACCAAGCCATCCAAGCTCGAGGCGTTTGACCCAGCGCAGGGCATTGACATCGCCAACGGTGTTCAGAACGCAGTCCAGAACGTCCTGTCGCTCTTGGACCCGAACCCGAAGGTGTGCATGCGCCTCGCCGAAGGCCGTGGCTTTGGAAAGCTCGTCCAGACCAAGTGCTTGGACGGCGAAGAGTCGTGGGGCGCGCTCTGCTACCCGAAATGCAAGGATGGCTACGAGAAGGTCGGCTGCTGCCTCTGCCGCAAGAAGGGCTGCAGCGGTGTGGAAGGCGTCCATGACATTGGCATCTCGTGCACCAAGCCCAAGGCGTACGGCCGCGGCGTGGGCTACACACTTTGGCACCAGGACAAGTGCATCCGTGAAAACCCCCAGGGCTGCGAGAAGCACCTCCTCATGTGGTACCCCAAGTGCAAGCCGGGTTACCACAACTTTGGCTGCTGCCTCTGCACGCCCGACTGCCCTGCGGGCACCCACGACGACGGCGCGTTCTGCCGCAAGGACCACTATGGCCGCGGTATTGGCAAAGCCCGTCTCGGCTGCGACGACGGCTTGGACAAGAGTGGTCTCTTTTGCTACCCGCCGTGCCAACGCAACCAGAATGGTCTTGGCCCGCTCTGCTGGCCCAAGTGCTCAGGGCCGACGCCGTTCCAGTGCGGCTTCTTCTGCACGTCGACAAGTGCGACGTGTGCGTCCAGTGCCGTCGAGATTGCGGGCAGCGCGACCAAGATTGCGCTCAGTATCGTGGCGGAAAACTACGTCGGCGCGGTCAAAGAAACCGTCAAGGCCGGCTACAAGCTCATTACAATGGACAAGTGCCCCAAGTAAGCGTCCGAAATAGAGTTGGCGGTTGTTGTTGAATGTAATACCATGGACAACCCTATTTTTGGTAAGGACACAAGTCACGGTGAGGTGATATGCACAACAGTATTGCTTTACGAGTACACGGTGGCGTCTCGACTCAATAATGTAGAGCTGCACGGTGTTCGCGTTGAGTCTTTTTACTTTTCTTTAAAGTCTCATTCCACGACGACACTGCTCGCACTACCAGCTCCAACGGCCCATACAGTATTAGCCGACCCGATTGACTGCCGTGCTGAACCACGAACGACTAGAGATCGTATAATGGCAACTTGGGATCGCGTCTTCTGGCTTTCTAAGCACGGCAGCAGTCGTGCCGTTTTCATCTACAGTAATCGATGTGAGTCGCAATTATGGACGGCTGTCACGCGCTGTGACGAACGTGCGACGAACGTGCTCGGTAGAGAAACCGTGGCCCTTCTAGACCCAGCTGGTTTGCATGTGATGGACGCTGTGAGTTACGATCCGACGGCCTGAAGCATCCGGTGTGCCTGGATCCTGCGGTCAAAGAGAGGCCTTCTCAGAAGACAGGGTGGAAATGGATGTCCATGTACACACACTACGGAGGACGACTCAGCGACGTGTACACTGCCGTGTCAATGGCGATGCGTTTCCAATGGACTGTGGCGAGGCGCGCCGCCTGATGCCTTTAACGGCGCGAGCTTGTTGCTAGTGTGGCGTATGCAAGATAAGATATTCGCACCCAAGCGCATTGCCCCGACACTACGTACCAGCATGTGGCGTGGCATCAGCGCTGTGGCACATCATACTTCCTGAAGTGAATCGTGATCAAAGCCACCGCTACAGGCAGTCTACCTAGCTGTAGCACATAGATAGGTCATGTTCGCTTCCGTGGTCAAGGCAGCTGCAGGAAGGATGCCATGAATTACAGCGTATTGGGACTCGGGGAAGGGCCATTTTGCAGCCAAAAGCATCCGTGATACTAGTATCCGACGTCGCGTGTGCAAGCCAGAGACTCTTTTTATACCTCGATGCTGCGATCACCTACGCATCCGTGCGACCAGCGGTGGCATGTAACGGTGCCATACAATCCATCAGTGTTTTAAACTGCAATGTGTACGTGTAATCTTATGGACGGCGCAGAGCCAGAGAGTGCCATGCGGCGCCTTCAACTCGGACACATCCGGTGCATGTCGCCGACAACACATGGTGCCGCACATGGTGGCTGAGCGCGTTTGCACCAAGCCGATTTCGGACCTCACTTTTCATTTTACGCAAAGTGAAATACCCACTCGGTCCCCACGAGTATTAGTCCAATGAAGTTGTGTACGCTTGCTGGTCTCATCCTCGCCTTTGTGTGCGGCGTCGCGGCCTCGACCCAAGACGTCGGTACCAACCTCCAGAACGGCATCCAAGTCGCCGACAACCTCATCGCGGACGTCAAGGGCCTCGTCGCCGACGTCCAGCTGCTCAAGTCGTCCAACTCGACCAACAAGGTCCAGCAAGTGCTCGCGATCAAGGACCGTCTTCAGACCGCAGTTGCCCACGGCCTTGAGAGCGTCGCGGACGGGAAGAAGATCATTGCGGACGTCCAGGCGCTGCTCAAGGACGGCGGCAAGCCCGAAGATGCCGATGGTATTGTCGCGGCCGTCAACTCGCTGACGTCGCGCTGGCTGCCGGCGTCGCCGGTTGCGCCGAACGCGACGAGCGCGATCCACGACGATGCGCAGACGATCGCCAAGGTCATCATTGACACCAAGAACGACATTGCGCTCCTCGCCAACGACATGCACTTGCTGTCGCAGGGCGGCCCTATCAACGCGACGCTGCTTTTGAGCATCAAGGACCATTTGCAGCAAGCGATCGCGCACGGTCTCGACAACGTCAAGGGCAGCGAGAAGGTCATCAAGGACATTCAAAAGATCATTGACAACAAGGGCATCGACATGAAGGACAGTGTCGGTGTCGTCAACGACATCCAGTCGGCGCTCCAGCAGGTGCTCGGGTCGCTCGACCCGGCGCCGCGCGTCTGCTTGCGCGAAGGTGTCGGCCGTGGCGTTGGTTCGTTCGTCTTCAACCAGTGCAAAGAAGGCGAGGAGGCCTACGGTGCGCTCTGCTACCCGAAATGCAAGGAAGGCTATGAGAAGGTCGGCTGCTGCATCTGCCGCAAGAAGGGCTGCAGCGGCGCAGAAGGCGTCCATGATATCGGCGTCTCGTGCACCAAGCCCAAGGCGTACGGCCGCGGTGTCGGCTACGCGCTCTGGAACCAGGACAAGTGCGTCGCCGAGAACCCGCAGGGCTGCGAGAAGAACGGCCTCATGTGGTACCCCAAGTGCAAGGCCGGCTTCCATCCGTTTGGCTGCTGCATCTGCACGCCCGACTGCCCGGCCGGTACGCATGACGACGGTGCGTTCTGCCGCAAGGACCACTATGGCCGTGGTGTCGGCAAGGCTCGCCTCGGTTGCGAAGCTGGCAAGGAAAAGAGCGGCTTGATGTGCTACCCGCCGTGCGCCGACAAGTACAAGGGCAAGGGCCCCATGTGCTGGCCAAAGTGCGGTGGCGCGACGCCGTTTGGCTGTGGTCTCTTTTGCACGTCGTCGGCGGCCACGTGCGCGTCGAGCGCTGTCGACATCATTGGCGGTATTGCCAAGATCGCACTCAGCGCTGTCAACAAGGACTCGCAGGGCGCGATCTCGAACGGCGTCCAGACAGGCTCCAAGATCGTCGTCATGGAGCACTGCAAGCTCGACCAGATGCAGTAAAAGGCGTAGTTGTGTGCGTAGTTGTCATAGCATATAGGGTATTCAATCGAGTGAAGATGAGTACTACTACTTTTGAGATGAACGCATTGACACATGTGTTGGTTTGGATGGTGCTCCTTTCACATAACCTCTCGATTTTTTTTGCCGCTCGCTGTACTGTAGGGAGAGGAGGTCGCTTGAGTGATCGATCTTGACATGCACTGCGTGGCTAATGTTGTCATTGTTGTAGTTGTTAGAAGAAGTTACTAACGTGTCATTTCAAAGATAGTGGGCTTCCTAATGCACTCGTGAGGCATGACCGGTGCGTCAAGCGACGATCGCTTAAGGGATTGAGCGAGGAACAAGGTAACGTTACATGTAAGGGTCATTGCGGTGAGCCTTGCGCGACGCGTCAAGCGATGGCACCACAGCGCGACGGGCCAAATGCCGGACCTGCAGTCGTGAAATAGTAGCTGCCTTGATTGCGAGCGCAGTAGCGGGAAGTTTCGTAGGCGTCGTGGGCGGCTAATGTTGTCTCTGTCGTTTTATACAAGGGGTAGGGTTCCTGCGACAAGTTTGACGATTGATTCGATCTACTTTGCGCCCTATCCTTCTAGTGCTGTTCTACGCTAATCATGATGGAACGAAACGGTGGCCATCCCACGAGCCATTGCAGAGACAAACAAGGTGCGCGAACGATAGAGCACGAATATGGAGCTCCACGCGAGCTGTCTAGGCGATGGGTTGATTCCTGGTCGTTGGATGCCCAACGACGTGCACGAGCCAGATGTGCACAAGCCATCAAAACGGATGCGCTACATAGCAAGCATACGGGGCATTTGTGACTCCCTCGTCGCTACTACAGTAGTCAAATGTGATGTGATGTAAAAGGCAGTTTGTGGAAACGTCCGACGTTTCGCTCAAACCGACAGTCGGCGCCACCCAAGTATACGTATGTGTGGCTACGGAGGAGTATGCCGCCTTCGGATGGCACCCACACGCCATCGGGGATCGTACGTGCCATGCGCTGGGATACAGCGTCGCCAGCTACGTCGCTTGACGTGGCGTAGTCGAGCAAGCAACCCGATTCCATTGCACAGTCGTTGTCCCAGGTCTCGCTCGACATCTAGCCACGGGTACGTAGCATCTCGACGCGTCATTGTCGGCTTAAATGTGCCTGGACAAGGCGTAGCATGGTACTGCAACACTGGCAGGGATTGCAACGAGAACAATACAGTCCTTTTTTACGGTTCCACGGCCAACGGCGCACCCACACGGCTACCGCGTCGCATGGTCCCTTGGATGCTGTTGTAATCCTGCGGCAGGTGCGACTTCAAGAGGCCACGCGTGCTGCTGCGGTCAAGCAAACGTCGTGTGCTCACCACACACAGCGCTCACTTTGCATTTCGATCTTCACCACCAAGCATGAAGTTGTGTACGCTTGCTGGTCTATTCCTCGCCTTTGTGTGCGGCGTCGCGGCCTCGACCCAAGACGTCGGCACCAACCTCCAGAACGGCATCCAAGTCGCCGACAACCTCATCGCGGACGTCAAGGGCCTCGTCGCCGACGTCCAGCTGCTCAAGTCGTCCAACTCGACCAACAAGGTCCAGCAAGTGCTCGCGATCAAGGACCGTCTTCAGACCGCAGTCGCTCACGGCCTTGAGAGCGTCGCGGACGGGAAGAAGATCATTGCAGACGTCCAGGCGCTGCTCAAGGACGGCGGCAAGCCCGAAGATGCCGATGGTATTGTCGCGGCCGTCAACTCGCTGACGTCGCGCTGGCTGCCGGCGTCGCCGGTTGCGCCGAACGCGACGAGCGCGATCCATGACGATGCGCAGACGATCGCC